CCGCAATCCCTTCTCCTCCATTCTCTTCTCAGGATCTTGGGCACGCACACACACACGCCCGGTGTGAGTTTAAGCCACTGGGTCTGGCACTCGAACCGCGGTCGACTACATGGGAGTATAGCGACATAGCCATTATGCTAACTGCTGGTCCCAATGGGAGGTACTTTCTCACTTTTCCCTTCTCTCTATCTCTCTTTAGTGAGTGTACATACCTTCTGACAAAATTTCTAAAAACTAGATTATATGTCATGTTATGATTGAGTTGTAATAGTTTTTAAAATATATTTTAGATAAAAATCCTTTATCAGAAATCTAATTTGCAAAGATTTTCTCTCATACTGTGGGTCGTCTTTTTACTTTGTTGGTGATGACTTTTTAAAAAAAATATTTTATTTAACTTTATTTTAATTTGACCAGAGAGGGACAGAATGAAAGAGAGAGAGAAAGTGAGAAAGCAAGACACCAGGTCTAGGACTTAAACCGTAGTTGGCCATGTGGGAGTCCAGCGCCCTTATCCACCTGCTGGCCCCAGTGATGCCTTTTAAAATACAAGTTTTTTATTTTGATGATGTCCCTTGTATCTCTTGTTTGTGCTGTCAGAGTCCTATCTAAGAAACAGTTGCCTAAAGTTGTAAAATTTTAAAACCCAGTATACGTTCTATATCTAAACCTGAAGTATGTCCTCTGTCCTTAGGCTGGCGTAATTTCTCCATGTACTGAACAGATAACAGCTTTCCTTTTAAAAGTGCTGAGTTAAATGTGGACCAGCACAGGGTTGCATGCCAAGTATGGTATAGATAGCTAACTTCCTGCTCAAATCCCCTTTTACCTGTTGTGACTGGTGTGCTTAGCCGCCCAGGAAACCTCATTTCCCAGCAGTTAACTGTGGCATATGACTGAGCTCTCTCCCAAACAGCGAGTGTGCCTCCCCATGCACTCTTTGGCCCTCCTGCTTTGCATCCTAGACACAGTGTGATTCCACCTCAGCCTCACAGAAGACAACACGGTCCTCAGGGATGGCAAGGCCTCAGGTTAGGAGAGCCTCGGCTCCTGAATGACCACATAGAGCAGAGCTGCTCACTGACTGGAAACACTCCATCCCTGACCATGCCACGAGTGAGAAATAAATGTTTTTTGATTTTTTTAATTCACAGAGGGCACATGTGTTCACCAGAGAGAGAGAGAGAGAGAGAGAGAGAGAGAGAGGAAGAAAGCACTCCACAACGGGGCATGTTCATACTGTAATCCACTCTCCATTTCTCCATCTTCTAGGGATTTTTGAACACAAAATCAGTTGACCACGTGGGATCTAGCTCCCTTAACAACTAGGGTACATGGCCGGTCCAGTTTGGGGATCTGTAAGCCACTATATTTGAGGGACAGGAGACTCCTGCTGCAGCAGCTTATACCTTTTGGCCTTACTTAAGACTGAGGTAAGTAGCATGTGACTCTATGTAAGACTTGAACAATGGTGAATTAATCAGCATGCGTAGACTGTAGGTGTTAAACAGGATAGAGCACACGCAGACCATCCTGGGTTCTCCGGGTGGGTCCTTGTGGCATTATGGCTGAGTGGATAGCCCCTGTTACTAGCCTCCTGGGTTTCAAATCCCTGTCTAAGTTTATACTCCTTATGACCCTGGGCAAGTTGCTTAATCCTCTTGGTCAATCATCTCAGTTTTTTTTCCATTTTATTTATTTTTTTTTAGAGATTTTTGCTCTAGGGCATTTGTACTCACCAGATACACACAGAGAAACAGAAAGTAAGAAATCACCCTCTGGCCATGCTGCAGTCCTTTCTCCTCCATTCTCCTCTTGGGATTTTGGGCATGCATGCACATGAGCCTGGTCTGAGTTTCAAGCCTTCGGGTCTGGGACTTGAACTACGGTTAGCCATGTGGGAGTCTAGTGCCTTAACCACTATGCTACATGTTGGCTCCAGTTTTCTCAAATGTAAAATGTAGACAGTAATAGCTGTCACCTGTTTCATAGGGCATTTTGGAGGATAAAATGAGTTAACATATATCCAGAGTTTGGACTGAGATGGGCACACGCTAAATTCCTGCTAGCTCCTAGTTCCTATGATTATATGCCTCTTCGTAAGAATATTATTATCCCACAAACACTGATTGATTCTTTGTATGTCCCTTGCCCCCTGCTAGGTCTTGGGGCTTTGGAGCAAACTAGGACAATAATATTTCCTCCAGGAACTGACCATTTAACATGGAAGTCAGGGATAAAATAACTGTAACAGAATGGGAGTTATATGTTACAAAGTGTGTAGGATCTCAGAAGAAGAAACTAGTAACCCCAGGTTGTGAGTAGAAAGGTGAAGGTAGGTATCCAAAAGGAGGGAGGGTATTTTTAGAATGTGGCTAAAATTCAGATGCACATTTTGCCAGCAGTCCCCGGCCTACAGAACGTCCCAGCCAGGGCCGACTGGGGGATACTGTGGATTCAGAGAGAGCCACAGGCCTGAAGTGCGGCCGAATCATTTGTCTCCGGGGTTCCTGATGCAGCGCTAACCCCTATCACAGTGTACAAAGAAAAATCCACTGTCCATCTCCCCAGTCCTTTAAAACAGCTGCTTAAAATGCTTAGTTGAAGATGTATGAATAGTGACCGGCTCAATTGGGTAAGTTGTCTATAATAATAATGATTCTTGAATCCCCTGCCCGCCCCCCCACCCCGCCCCATCCCCTGACCAGCCAATACACTTGACTGGATTTATTCCTCACTGTGTATCTACAACTTCTCTTTTCCTGAAGGCAAGATCTCTTTAATTATTCTATTAAGTGGGCAGATAATCTTCACCCTTAAATGCTGTACTACGGCAGTATCACTAGTTTAAAGTCTGTAGGCAGTTAAGTACGACAATGCAGAATATTAATGTCTAGTGTTGTGATTTCTTCTGAGTTTTAAAATATCTTGGAGGGATGGAAGAGGTGGAAGGGGACGGAGGAGGGTAGCCCAGTGGGTTTTACCCAGCAGCTCCCTAAACAGGAAGCCGGCAGTGAAGGTTCTAAAGCAGTCGTTTGGCTCCCTCTGGTGGGCTCTTACACAATTACTTACCTCCTCTCCCCCACCCCGGACCTCGTCACACACAAACTCACTTGTTTGGAAAATAGAAAGATGCAGTCTGTCAACCTCAACCCTCCTACAGGACAGAGGTGGAGAAACTGGCTGAGGGCTTTCGGTGGACGTAGGTAGAACTAGAGCCCAATTTAAGAGAGAATACGGCTCCCTTCTCTGGTGTTCGTTTTAGTAGCTACCAATTTCCCCTGCAGTGCCTTGGTGTCCAACAAAAAGCCTTTTCAGTACATCTCGGGGTCTTGTTCCCAACTCCCATACTCCCTACAAATGCTCTCGAGAGAGTTGTAAATGACAAGGACACCCCCTATTGGTTTGGATAAGTCCCATGGCGTGAGAATCTTTAAAAACTTAGTTTGAAAAACTCAAATATAGACTCTACTTACACTAGAGCTATGTTTCTCAGTCTTTTAGAGTTCAAGGATCCTCCCGCCACCCCACAAGGTATTAGTTGCACAGTTTATAATTGGTTGATAAATGAAAATAATAAAATCAAGCAAGCTAATGCGCACTTTGCACTGTTAACAGTATGCGTGAGCGTGTGTGCGCGCGTGTGCATACACTTTCTGAAACCCGTGGCACATGCTCATTGAGGTTTACCTGCCCCTGCAGTGGACAGACAGACACGTGGCTTCACAGCTCAGCTCTGCCAGGATGCCCAGCTGCCGCGGTTCTCCAGGGCCCCGGGAGCCCGCCCCCTGGAGGACAAACGCTGGTACAGCATGGCTGTGCGCATCTAGGTGTTTCCTTCTTCCTATGGGGCAGCCGAACTACGTCCTCTGCCCCTGGGACTCTGCCAGCTCTTTCGACTACAGGACGCGTCCCAGATGCCCCTTTTCGACGCTGCACTGTTCAATAGGTGGGACCATGCGGTGCCGGAGTTCCTTGCTCCTTGCGAGGGCAGAGCCACAGAGCGCTGCGGCAGGAGCGTTAGTTTCTGGATGCGTTTGGCTGCCCATAGACTCTCGCCTCAGCTCAGCGCCGCCGGCAGCGGGCGTCTCAGAGGCTGGTATCTCCTAAGCTCTCAGCAGCTCGGCCTCAAGCTTTGCTACTCCAAACTCACTGCACGCGACCGATGATTCCCCCCAGCTCCGGGTCACCTTGGGGGCGCACTCGCGAACCCCGCACCTCCACGTCGGTCTCTCTGGCTTAATTCACCTATCGTGGGTATTAAAATGGTTTTTAAGTACCTCTCACGAGCACGGCCCTGGGATGGACGCTAGAAGTTGGGGACGATCCCATCATAAGGTAAGGTGCTTCCTTCTAGAAGGAACAGAGAAGCAGGTGGTGAGGGAGGGGTGGGATCTGCGACCAACACAGAGTGCACCCTGGGAGCTGGCCCTGCAGCTTGTCCCCAGCCTGCGCTTCCTGGGTCAAGATGACACACACACACACACACACCCGTTTCCTTTCCTCCCTCTCTCTCTCCCTTCCTCTCTCTCCCTGTCTCTCTCGCTTTCATTCTCTCTCTCTGT